TACTTTATGCTGTTCATTACCGGTTCATATTCTCTGCGATAGCGGATTAACGTGACCACTATTGAAGTAAGTGAATGAGTGAGTGAGTGAATCACGATTTTGTCATACTCAATATCTCAAGAATGGTACAAACCATAACCTTCTAACTTTGCACATTAACAGATATAGTGTAGCAGATGAGCTTATTAAAATTTGGTTGAGTCTGTGAGGTTGCATCATACTAAATTAATACGCAAATACAAACTGCATCACATGGTCCTGTACAATCCAGTGGGACTGCATGTCGTTTCTAACAGTTAGCTTCCTAACCAAGCCAGCTAGCACATAAATAAAATGATTAGTCGTTCAGTCAAAACCAGATAAAGGGTTGATTTCACAAATAGTTATTCTAGCAATGTTTGTTTTGTGTTTCTTGCTCATTGGAAATGTACTGCACTAACAGTACTTGCACACAGAACTGAGGAAACGGGAACTGAGGAAAGGTCATCATAAGTGAGGAAACACCAGAGGCAGGACAGAAACTTAAAATAATTTTAAAACAATCAATAAATAAGTAAATAAATAATTCTTAGTTCCCACTTTTGTGCGCTCCGTTACGAACGCCACGATTGGCCATTCGTAGCTGATCGTGGAATTTCTCTGAAATTTCAGGTTTGGATACGAGGTGATGCGATGATCACGACTGACAATTAATCATGTTGATCGTAGGAAATTTTTGAACCGTCCAAAACTTTTCTACGATCAACACGATTGCCACGACTGACCTCAAGATCTGATAGGATCACCACGATTACTCCACGATTAAGACCACGATTTCAATCGTGCCGCAAATCGTGATAGTGGGAACCTAGCATAATAGATAAATATTTCAGCTAGAAAAGCAAATGAATGAAAAGAAGTAAATTGATAAATGCACAGAAATAATAAAAATACAATAAATAAAGATATCAGTTCAGTTAAAACCTAGGCTAAAAAGGTAGGTCTTGAGTTTGTTTTTAAAAATATTGACACTCTCTGCGGCCCTCAGGTCTTCAGGCTAGCTTTTCCACAGACTTGGACCATAATAATGGAATGATGCCTCACCATGGGTTTTTGTTCTAACTTTGGGGATGATTAAAAGGCCACCACCAGAAGACCTGGGGGTTCTGGAAGGTTCATACGATAAAAACTAATCAGATAAATAGGTTGGACTAAGACCATTAAAAGCTTTATAAACCAATTAAAAAAAATCTTAAAATCAATTTTGCAGCACATGGGAAGCCAATGCGGAGACTTCAAAATCTCTCTTTCTGGTCCATGTCAGCACACGTGCAGCTGAGCTTTGTAATAATTGTGACTGAGCAATGTTTTTCTTAGGAAGACCAGAAAGTGGAGCATTACAATTGTCAATTCTGCAGGTAATGAAAGCATGTATCAGTGTCTCTGTGTTGGTTTGGGAAAGGAATGGTCACACTCTGTTGATGCACTTAAGATGATGAAATCAAGTTTTGGTAATGGTAATATTTTAATATGTGTTTCAAAACTAAGATTTGAATCAAAGGTAACTCCAAGGCTTTTCACTTGTTGACAGGGCTTTAGGGCCAGTTCTTGCAGTTTTGCATGAAGTTTCTTTCTCTGAGCTTCAAGATCAATAACTTAGACCTGGATTTTGTCCTGGTTGAGTTGAAGCAAGGCCGTTCAGGACTTCATAGCTAAAATACAGTTAAAAAGAGCATAATTGGCCTTCAGTCATCAAGAGACATGGCAATGTACAACTGTGTATCATCAGCATAACTATGGAAACTGATGCCGTGATGACATTTCCTAGCGGGAGCATGTAAAGATTAAAAAGCGTTGGACCTAAAATTGAACCCTGGGGTACACCATAACCCATTTTATAGCTTTTTGATGAACATTGACCCATTGTTACATGAAATTCTCTATTAGAAAGATAAGATTCAAACCAGTTGAAAACAGTACCCGAGTGGCTAACCAGACTGTGAAGTCTAGCTAAAAGAATTGAGAGGTAAACTGTATAAAAGGCTGCAGTAAGATCATGTAGTACTAATATAGAAATTTTATATGTCCATACTTGACCTCAGGCCATAAGCAACCTTGACCAGTGCTGTCTCTGTGCTGGGATTGGCTCAAAAGCCAGACTGGTATTGTTCAAAGATATTGTGGGAGATCATAAAATCATTTAACTGATTAAAAACAAGTTTCTCTAAAATTTTCCTCAAAAATGGCAGATTGGACACAGGTCAGTATTAAGACAGTAATAAGGTCCTCAATTTTCTTGTAATAGCAGGCTAATATGGCCTCAATGGAAGTGAGTGAGTGAGTGATCCTTTCATACTCAGTATCTCAAGAATGGTACCAGCCATAACATTCTAACTTTGCACATTAACAAATAGAGTATAGCAGATGAGCTGATTAAAATTTATTTGAATCTGTGACATTGTTTCATACTAAATTACTATGCAAAACAGCGCCGCATCACATGGTCCTGTACAGTCCAGTAGCAGTCCATGTTGCTTCTATCAGTTAGCTTGATAACCAAGCTAGCTAGCACGTTAAGACAATTATCAATGATTCAGTCAAGACTGATAAAGGCTCAATTTCACCGATAGTTATGCTAGCAATATTTGTATTGTGTTTCTGGCTCAGTTGAAATGTACTGCACTAACGTCACTTATGTGTACCTTCATTTGATGTCTACAGTAGCCAACTAGCTAGCTATGGAGCTAACTTGAAAACCGTAGCTTTGAGTGGTCTATTGTCATGTAGCTCTGTATCTAGCTTGCTGGCTACTGCAGATTTGAAATTATGCTGGCAGGGTGGGAAAAATTTGGGCATTATCTTTGTTAGCAAGCTACTTTCTCTGAACAGATCCTGAGTTTTTAGTTTAGTCTATTAAGTTGCATCATTGTTATGTTACAGTTCATATGTTAGATGTCTTGGTTTCGGTTTCTGTGTCATTTTTTCTAGGTGTTTGGATGCGGTCATAAAGTACAAGTTGGTAAAAGAAGGTTACCCAGTTGTATCATGTCACTGCTAATTAGGAAATGAATCAGGAAGTAACTGAGCATTACACAGAGAGCTGATCATGTTTATTGTCTGAGCAAATTCAGCAACATCTGCAAACGTGCTATGGTTTTTAAAGCATCATTGATATGTATCTGTTTTCTTGGTTATTTACAAAAATCTTTATTTATGGAGAAATGTGAAAAGTTTTTATTTACAAAAATCTTTATTTATGGAGAAATGTGAAAAGTGAAGTTTAATATTGATAATTGACTGCTACTGTTGAAGATATCTACACTGTTCATCTGTCACAAGATGTTCATATGGCAATAAATATGCATAAATAAGCGAAGTTAATTACACTTTATATATATGAACATGAATGTAGAATAGTCTAGTGTTAAGCGGAACAGTCTAGAAAATTCAGTATATTTCTCTACTATTCTGGAAAGTTCTTGTTACTGCTAGATTCTAATGGAGCAAAACTAGAAGTTTTCAAGTTATCAAGAAGACTGTGGAAACTTCTGAAAAATTCTTTTGGGTGTATAAATACTTGTGGACTTGTGAGGCAGTTATTCTTAGATTTAGCAGTTCTTGGACACATTATAATATTTATTCAGCTGATCTTGGATTCAGTCAAGCCTGTGTTTCTTACTCTACATCGTCGGCCGTACAGTTTTCCTTTTAAACTACATCAAGGGACACAGAAATTCTTGGACGCCTCAGAAATTTGTGGACTTTCTTGGATATCTCCTTTGAGACCATTTCCTCATTGGATTGGGACATTCATTTGGATTACCTTGGACTCTGTGCCACGCAATTGGCTGAATACTAACCATTTACTCTTATATTATTCATCTGTTTGTCATCTTAGTTTTAATATAGCAAAGAAAATGTGAATTCAGGATTTCTTTGTAAATGTGGCTTTAAATCAGCACTCTGATTTGTTTGTCGACAATCACAGATTCGTTTGTATAGAATTAGAATTCCTATACATGACACACAATAAAAACATGAAAACAGTAAAAAGTTAATATTTCGTATTTCAGTTTGTAAATTGCATTTCTGTGCACAATCTACACATTAAAAGCTAGCATAAAATTGATTATGTTTTCTGTATGTTTTAGTTTTACACCCTTTTTGTGACGACAATAAACCAGTGGACAAAGGGAAAACTGTCGTCAGAGTCTTAAAGGTTGATTATGGAATATGAGCAGAATACTGACATCTAGTGTCTCAAGACCCTAATCGCAACAACAAAAAATAATTCCAGCAGTCGGGTTGCCAGGTTCGTTGCCGAGTGTGTCGAGCGATCAGCCTGCACAATGTCAAGTGATGAATCATACAGGGTAACGACTAATTTCGACTAATCAATTCATTTTACAACAGTATTTAACGTTAGCCTAGCTATCCATTATCTGAAGCTCTGAAGCAGCTGCAGCAGAACTTGCAGACTCCGCCATTTTACCCAGTGCCAGCCTAGCTGTGCCGAGCATAGAGACCGTATTTGGCAACCTGCAATGCCCCGGCCACTATCGGCTTGTACGATGTAAACAGGAAGTCATTGTCGAACCCGTCAAAATTTTTAAATTATTTAATTCAGCCTAAAAATATTTTTTTAAGGAAAGAAATACTTTCATTCTGCACCCCTCTAAATGCACTGTGGATGTATTATTTTTGAAAAAAATATAGCTTTTAATACGCATTCTCCATAATCAACCTTTAATGTTAGGAAAGTCATTATCTGGATATCAAGGTGTACCAGCACATACACTGAAGACAGCACAATCATATTTAAGAGTAAGTCTATTCCGAGCCTAGCTGCCCATCAGGCCGGTGCATAACCCCGGTTTCCGTGGCATGAAGCGACTAGGAGTATTGCTACTGCCCCAGCTCTGGGTCAGGTTTCCCCAACAATTTTCTGGTACCCATTTGTACACCTGGGTGGAGTGAGGCAGTGTGGGAGTGAAGTGTTCTGCCCAATAACACATCGCGAAGGCCGCGGCAAGGACTCGTACTCAGGATCTCTTGATCCCAAGTCATGCCGACTTAACCACTGCGCTACCGCGTCTCCAACATCATCCAGACTAGACATTGATATGTAATGTCAGTACAAGTGACATGTCAGTAAAAATGTTTAGTCTTTTACACATTTCACTGTGCTTACAAGAAATACAGAAAAGTACATGGCATGTGGTTAGTAGATTATGAATTATCGCGCAATAGCCTTCCCCAGGGCACTTTGAGCAGACTGACATATATTAACAGATAAGGGTTTGACAGGCATCTGCTCAGGACCTCAGGCCCGGGCTGGGCCCTCCTCTCCCTGTGCGAAGCTGACAAAAGGAGAAAGGTCATTCCATTTTCATTTTGGGTTTTTTTTCAGGTTTCTTCATTTTTTTTAATTTCCTTTCTTTTCTCATAACCTCCAAACAACCAATAATTTCTATACTGTGGCCCAAATCATGTGCAATATTATAATCAGTTCCTGTAGACTAATCCTGTCTTTATTTTTAATTCCAGGAGGCGAGCAAAGTACAAACAATACAAGCCCTTCAGTTCCTGTTGGTCCAGGAAGAATATTATGTTCAGTTTTTTCCCCTTCTCCCTCACCCACACTGGTAAATAAGAGGCCTCATTTTCATCCAGTTTCTCCTGCTTGCGTTTCCATTCCACACCTTCAACGCGCCACACCGTCCAGCAAGAATGTGCTTGGTGTGTTTTTAATTATTAAGGTGAGTCAAGACCACTTGCAGGTTCATTAATCCCTTAAACTCAAACTTTTCACTTGCATTTTCCCTTAAGTAGGTTCAAAGTCAGAAAAAAGGTTTTTTGTCCATATTGTACAAATGGACAACGTCAAGTACATACTCTGTATGGGCTGGTTGCAGCATTTCACTGAAGCTTCATGTTACTGACAGCTCTGGTGCTGCAGAGCAACATCTCTCAACAAGAACTGAAAGTGTGTTTCAAAAGCTGGGCCCCTTTTGGCCCCTTGGCGCTGACTGATCAAAGGCCCCAATGAGAGTAGAGGCCCAAATGGAGTGTTACTTTTCGAACTAGAGCGGAACCGCTCATCCACACTCGCCTCTTAGCAGTGCAGTTCATTGAAGTGAGCGAGGGTAGTCTTTCTGATTGCATTCAGATTGGGGTCATTTCACAGAGAGGACTATACAGGCCGGGGTCCTGAGCCCCTGCAGACGGGGGCTCACACAAAGCAGGAGTCCTGCTGTTTCTGAGTCTACTGAAGTGCACACAGGGATTAGATCCTCAATTTCACGCACAGTAGGGCGCCAACAAATCAACTCTGCGTCAGGGTCACCTGGAATCAACGTGGTTCCAGTATGACTTGCGGCTCCTGTAGGCAGTGAACTGGACAGAAATTCCGTAGGTCCTCAAATTGAGACAAATTTGGCCAAGACAACCCATTAGATATATTCCACTGTAGACCTGGACTTCGGTCGCTGTAAAATGGAGACCATTCTTCTTGGGCCCCTTAACCCTTGTTCTGACAGCAATCTTTTCTCTCCAGGATATTTCCCTTCCAAGTACTGACAAGGCACTGTACTGTAACTTTAGATATAATTTAGGGGATTAATATTAAGGAAAGAAGAGACTGCAACATGAGGGCAGCTAGACTCATTACCGTCACGCCTCACTATCTCAAAGGATCAGTTTGATTATGGCCCGACACCCAGCTGTTGTCTCAAAGATGTATGATGTTCCAAGAATTTTGCAAAACTTTACATATGTGTCTGGTAGGCGTGCAATGAATAAACAATGCGATCAGTTCTTACCAGAAATATAACATGTACAGTATTATTTTCTCACCCGCCCTCCTTTAAAATGATTAATGTACAGCGCCCTCCATAATTATTGGCACCCCTGGTTAACACACATGATTTGATGTAAAAGAATTATTTCTTAATGTGGGATTTTTTTCCCACTGAATAAATGCACTTGAATTAAAGGTTGGATTTTCCTCTTTTTTTCATTGTGGTCCTATATTATTTAGAAAAAAACTGAATTTATTAGAAGCTAAAGAACACATCTTAACCAGGGGTGCCAATAATTATGGAGGGCGCTGTATGTAATGGAGCACGATAAGATAATGTAGGTCATGTGTCACTCCTACAGATACACGGCATCCCTGAGATGTGTCTTGTGGTGACTGCGCGTAGGTTTGTTCCAGAATCAATCATGTGGCTTTTGGCAGGCAGGCAGAAATATGTGGAAGAAAAGCATAAATTCAGCTCTGCTGACAAATTCTCTCGTTCGGTATGACAGCTATCTGACAGGTTCCATCCACCACATTTCTATCCGACTGTCACAGCGACTGCGCATTTGGAATTCTTTCACTTGTGCCAAAATCAAGTTTCCAATTGATTAACTGTCATAATTTCCGTAAAGAATCGACGCATCAACATTTTGCGTGTGAAATTGATTTTATAAGCATGTCTACTGCTTTTCCATGCTCAATTTAAATGTAATTTTTCAATTCGCGATTTTGATTTTATATTTTTCTCATTTTTCATTTCTAAAAAATTACTGCCAATGGAAACACAGGAAGATTTTTATGAATTCAATATGTTATGATTTTTAATTCACTCAAACATTTTATACCCTTAACAGACTTAACCCTTAGAGCACTGAAATAAGTAAAAAAAAATATAGTTGTATGAATTTAATTATCTTGTGCTGTTGAAAACCAATCATGTGGCAACTTGTTTGAAAGAGCTCCCCTGCGGAAGCTCTTTTGAATAAATTGCCACGATAGGTTTTCAACAGCTTTGATTTTGCTGTCTGACATCATTGAGCTACAACGTTCAGCAACTCTAAAGGTTAATACCCCCAATTCTTTATACATTTTATCATTACAATATTAGGAAACAACTTTCTTATATGCAGTATATTCACAGTAAAATATTCATACTAATGGACATGTGGGAGTCATTACACAAAGGCTAATTAATTACCGACTGTGACTACAAGTGTGAGGACAAAAGTAATGAGTGAAGTTTGAAATGTGCCTTTTGGTTGATTCACTGGTACACTTCAGATGTAACTCGGCTCGAAGATCGTTGCTCTAAGAGGCTTCCAGCAACTAAGCATATCTCTGTGGTTTAGCGCACAGAACTTGCCGTGTCTGTGCATGATTACGATGATGAAACGGCCTGAGAACCTGTGTGAGGGAATAATCCAGGCATGTATGTTTGTTATTACACCCATGTCAGTGTCAGCGTGTGTTCCTAGTGTCACATGTGTAACACACATGTTGACATTCCTGTGCAAGCAGCGTTTGAAATGTTGGAGCTGACGAGTGAGGAAGACACACCTTTAATCTTACCCAGAGGCAGCCGGTTCTAGCCGCTCTGACACCCCACCCCTCCAGCACCATCCCCAGCCCAAAGCTGACGCCAACTCCAGAACAGTTTCTATATCACCAACCAAAAGCCATGATGCAATCATGAAGACAAGCCGGCAAAATCCAGCTCTGGAGAGGGTTAGCCTGTCTGATATAGTGCTTGGCGAGAGTTAGGCCATTTAATACTGCTAAAATACGTATGCCTGTCAACAGTGCCTGACGACCAAAATAATGTTAGAGAGACAGCAAAAAGTGTCGTCCAGTGGTGTTTTGTACCTGTCGATTTTTGTGACATCGGTGACACTGTCGTTTGTCTTAAATTTCATAGGCTGGATGGACAGAGAGTTCAGTGGATGTCACAGATATGAAAAGTTCATATAGGACCATTTGCAAAAAGACTGGTTGGTTGTGGTTATAAAGAAATAACTATAATTAACATGAGATGGCAGTTTGTGCTGCAGACGTTGTCCCACACTTCATTTAAGCCAAATAGAATCTGTATCCTCTGACAGTTTCCTTAAGACGTCTGTTGATTTATGTCTCGAGTATAAAATGGCCTTCAGTCACTGCCGGGTAATGAACTCTTCACTTGTGGCCTTTTTCGGTTTTGCGGAGGGATGAGCTGACAGATCATGCTTTGCAGTTTTTGGCTGCTCTCGGTGTCTGAGACTCCATGCTACTCAATTTCCTTCAGCAGTTTATAAGCGCACACTTACAAGAGATTCACCTGTTCACTGTTGCAACCATTGACCCCTCAGACAGAATAGCCCAGCACATTCTCATCCCGACTTGTTATATATTGACGCTACCTGACCAAGCCTCTATATACGAGGCAAAAGGAGGCTTTTGACATTTAGGGTTAGGTTTCTGGTTAAGGGTTAGGGGTTAGGGGGTAGGGGGTAGGATTTGTTTAAAGATGGCGTCAAATAACGGCGCCAAAAGCCGCCTTTTGCAACAAATATCGAAGCTTGGTCACGTAGCGTCACTATATAAAGCGTCAGGATGAGACTGGGCTCAATAGCCGGGTTTGAAGAGGGGATAGGACTGGACTCGTACAGCGGAACCGGTGGCTGACGGGCAGGGTTGGGTAATTAAATGCCAGATAATTTAGGGGGGAACATCCTGAAGGATCAAAGGTCAGGTGGATCAGCTGGGATCAGTCAGGGGCGATAATCCGCTTTTTTAATGACCCAGCTCCAAAAACAGCGATAATTACTGACCACTGAAAGTAATTGGGCAGAGGACACAGGAGGTCCTTCATGAAACCCCCTGTGGGTCTGTGTCACTCTACAAGCGGCCCAAGAGGCAGTGGGGCAGCAGGGCATTAAACCAAACGGGGCATTACTACACATGGGGTCCTCAATGGTGCCCCTCAGCTCATCCCACGACCCTATTGCCCCTCACCATGCACCCCAAGGTTGCCCAACTGTCCGAAGCTCATCCCAGTCTTCACCTTGGAGGAATTTGCTCTTTGCCCAAACAGAGATGGGAGAGTGGGAATGCTCCCGCAGGGAGGGTCGCTGGCTTTCAGGCGCTCAGGATTAGACCTGTCACTCATGTTCATACAAAGAGATCTATATCATCGCTGCGTGTTACATACAGCTAGAGGCACCGATGAATCAGCCCGAGACTTCGTTATGTTCAGTAACTCTCAACTATAACAAACTGTAACAACTTACTGTACATCCCTGTGTCTGGACTCCAGT